ATAAAAGCAAAATAGATATAATAAAAGATTTAATTAGAAGAATTGAATAAATACAATTAAATACAATAGAATATACAAAGAAAAAATTTACTAGGTAATATAAGATTAATTAATTAATATAAAAAAATTCAATAAGAATATAAAAAAATTTACACTTCTTAAATATGTAGAAAATATAAAAGAAAAAATGGCAAAAAATTTAAAAATTGATGATATACTTATAAAATTAAAATTAAAATAAATAAAATATTATATTAAAATTTATCTATCTTACATATATTTACAATTTTAATTTAATTAGAAATTAATTAATTAAATTATTATATCTATTAATTTTGTAATTATTTTTTATTTAATTGTTTATTATTAAATTTTTTAATTATTGTTAATAATGTTTCAACGCGAGCAGTTTTTTAATTTTCAATAGACATTTCTTAAATTTTAATAAATTAAATACGAATTTATATTAATTAGAAAATAAATATAGAACGAATATAGATTGCTTGGAATTTAAAAAAAATTCAAATTTTGAAAAAAACAGACTTCTTTAATATATTAAATTGTACTGCATGAAATTACTAATTTTAGAATAAATGACAATCAACTGCGATTTGAAAAACTCTCTTTGTAAACTCTACTTGAGTTATATTGCTTAATATATTTTGACATTATCCTCTTATATTTTCTTTGTGTAATAAGTTCTTTTTTTATATTAGTTTAAAAACTTTTAAAAAGTAAACAATATGGTAGAGTTAGATGTATCTCCAATGATAGTTTTTAGATATTTATGCAATGGACAAAAAAATTGAAAAAGTAGATACTGCATTAACTGATAAAGAATCAAAAATTGTGACGTTTGGAAGTATGCTTATCATATAAAACTCGAAACAATAGAAATTCATTTTATTTTATAATAGAATTATAATTTGTGGTGAGAAATGAATACTATACGATAATCTTACACGATATAATCTGTAATAATCTAAACAATAGTTGGATATTAATAAGAATCCTAAACAAATATCGAAACCATTATTATGGCCGAAAAAAGTTATGATGACTATATTAGTGATCTCTAAAAAATAATTCATTATTTAAAATATTCTTATTTAAAATAAGAATATACCATACATCCTTGCCAAGAAATTGATTATCATGCATTAAAAATTGATTAAAAAACAACTTATATTAATCAATAGACATAGATCTATTCTTTTGCTAAACAACGCTTGACTGCATATATTACAAACCACTTTATAAAAATTATTTATTAATTAAAATATGAAATCTCGAAATCCATCTATATTCATCAATTATTATTTGTTTCGCCATTTATATTGTTATTTTTAAAAAATAAAATATTCGACACTCGAGAAATTGCAATCACAAACATTCGAAGAATTTTTTTACACTAAAATTAAAGTTTTATAAAAATAGAATATTTTAGTTCGAATCTCGTTAGAAAAAAGTTATTAAAGCCAATGGTTCATATTTTGATTAATTAATTTGCTGTTCATGAAAGTTATTCTACTTAATTATACACATATAATAATTTTTTATATAAATAAATAAAATAAGAAAATAAAAAACAAGCAAAAATAATGATGATATGTTTTATGAATCTCTAATTAATGTCAGATAATTATCTCTCTTATATTAATACATGACTGTTTTATTTACAGCTAATGACTCGTTGAATGAACTGTAAAATCAATTATATAATCATCTTCCGAATTTTAATAATATGGAATTTAAATTTAAATTGAAATAATTTACTAAACCAATGGCTTTTCAACATAAATAAATTAAATTATTTTCTTATAGAAATAAATTGATTAATACATTAAGTATATAGTATATAATACATTCAAGTTTATAAGTATATAGTTCTATTTAAGAAGATTAAAATAATTTCAAAATTTGTTGACATGTGCATTTAGGAAAAAATATTTTCTATAATATAATAGCTCTCATTAAAACAAACAATTTTTATTTCAAATATTTCACTTATTTTAAAAAATAAGAGAAAAATAAAAATAATTATGTAAATAGTTCAGCCTATATAATACGATTATAGAATATGATCATCGGATTGCCTTTGAAAATTAGATTTGTTTGCTTCGATCCGACTTTGATCATTTTGATCATTAAGCGATTTAAGAAGAACCGATACATGATTTATTTTGTATACAATCAAAAATAATCTTAAATAATACTGATCATCTATAATAATAATATATTTTCATTATTATTTATTGATTTTGTTAAAATTTGATGTATTTAGAATTTTTCATTTTTTATGTTAAAAAAGTAACATTAGAATTAAATTGTGTGAGTTCAGAAAATCTAAAAATTATTATTTTTCTAATGAATAATATACAAATAAATTTGATTATTTTTACAGATCATTATTATATAATTGCTTGATATTAAAAATTATTAATATTAAATGAATGAGATAGTGAACAAAGAAAATCCTAATATTCAGTCTTTATATTCTAAATGCAGAAGAATAAAATAATAAAACTAACATTAAAATGATAAGATTTAGAAAAGAAAATGTTTTATATTTTTTAGATAAATATATATATAATAATTTACAATAGATACATAATATATGATATATGATATAATCATATATGTAATATATGTAATACATGTATACGTACATATATGTAATATATGAAGTAAAACAATTATAGTATAAATACAATCAAGAATATTAAACTGATTAAAACTTTTAACTAAAAACCAAACTAAAAAAAATAATGAATAATAAAAAATAATAGAAATAATAGAAAAAAAATAAAAAAAATAATAAAAGATAAAAATAATAATAACACAAACTGACTAAAAAATAAAATCAATAATCTATTACAATAAGCTTAACTAACAAAATTAAAATAAAAATAAAAAATGAAAAGAAACTTTAAATTTAACTATTAAATTTTTATCACAAGCATAAAGTAAACGTTAAAGATTACGCAAAATTATATTATATTTTTTTAAATTTTTTCTTCATTTATAACTTTAAAAAAATTATTTAAAATATATGCAAAATATTTTTGTTATGTTTATTTTTAGTACACTTTGTGTATTAATAAAAAATTATTTATTTGATGATAAATTTATCATCAAATATCTGCGTTCTAATTTTATGTTGGTTTAATAATTGTAAAATTATAGAAAATAAAACATCAAATATTTGAAAAAAAATTTCTAGTTTTCAATATTTTTGTAAAAAGAATTTAACATCATAGTTTAAATATAATTTCTTTAAAATAGAATCGGAGAACTACAAGAATTTAAATACAATAGATAAAAAGTTTATGAATGAAAATTTATATAGACAGGAAATATTCCAATCATTAGGAATGTATTTAAATTGAAACCATAATTATACAAATCTGAATTAAAAAGATAAATAAATTACATTAACTTAAAAATAAAATCAAATTATACCAAATACAATAGTTATATATATAGAAAAAACATAAGAATCAATTCCAAATGTAAATATAATTATCCAATATAGAATTTTAATAGAACCTTAACTATAAACTCTTTTATTATTTTTTTCTATTATATTTTTATTCTTTTATCTTTATTATCTTATTTTACAATAAATATCATACATTATTAAAATTATTTAAAATTAATTAGCTAAAAGTAATATAATTCTTTTCTAATAGAAAAATATATAATATTCTCTTTAATATTACTAAAATTACTTTAATTTGATAAGAAAAAACAATGTTTAAATCTATTAAATTCATTGTAGAGAATTCATTTAATTTTTGTTATAAATATGAGAATCATATACTTAAAGATATTTAAAAATATAACTCTACATTCAAAAAGCAAAAAAATATTACACACTTCTATAGTAATTGAATAAATAAAAATGAACGAAAATGAATGAAAAATTATGTACTTAATATGACTTTCAAAATTCTTTTATCTTCGCAAAATATATATATATGTATATATATATATATATATATACACATATATAATATTAATCAAAAATCATAAATAAATATTACAAAAATAGAATGAAACAGAAATAAATAATTTCATTAATTAATATATAATAATAATTTCATAACAATATATAAAATTGTATTACTAGTTAATAAAATAATTTAAAATTATTTTTTTTTTATTTATTAATTTTAATTTAATTCTATTTATTAATTTAAAAGACAAAAATATTTTAATTATTATGATATAATAAATAGAATAAATGTAAAAAATATAAAATAATTATATATTACATAATTATATAATTATTATATAAATAATAAAATATGATTTCATAACATTTTCATAATATTTTCTGCGTTATTTTTTACAAAAAGAAATAAATAAATTTGACGAGAAAAACTTACCATAAATAAAAATATACATAACCTGATATCAATGAGATAAATGTACACAAGATGAAAAATATTCTCCATAATTTCAATGTGTCGAAAACGCAAATCTCATTATTAAATAAAAATTAATGAAAAATATCATCAATCGATATTTCATTGAACCAATAAATATACATCGTTAATTAAATAGCATCACTGAAATTATTATTGATAATCTTAAGTAACGTATTTATTTATAAGAAGAATATTTCGAATTTTAAAAATTTATATGAAAAATATTATTTATTTGAAAAATAATGATTAATTTAAATTACAGTTTGTATTTTTGTAGAGCTGATACATTTGTGTTCATAAGAAATTCAGGTTTGAGTTTGAATTAAGGTTGGTTGATTTTAACAGATTCAATACATTTATAAAAATAGACTTACAATTGGTTAAAAGTTACATTTACAAGTAATAACATCGTATCGATGACTATAGAGGGGAATACTAGATATTTCTCTTACTCTTGTACCAAGGTGCTTTTACATTTATCATGTGATAAAAGTTACATAGTACATGTGAGGTTAAGTTTTAATGTTTTTATCTAATTCAATTTTATAATAAATGATAGATATTAAAATTAAATCAGAAAAACATTATAAGACATTATTAAAAAAATATAATTGAATTAACTATAAAAAGCAAGGTAAATCAAATAATTCTAATTGTATTATATTGTTGCAAGAAAACAAAGAAAATTATTGAGTGAACATAATAGAATAAATAATTCAATGATTTATTGAATTTAATTTAATCTTTTTTTTTTAACATTTTAATAAAATATTAGTATTATATTATAATATATTATAATATTATATATATATAATATTATATATATAATAATAATATTATATATAATAATCTTTTTCAATATACTATATTCACAATAAATAATTTTATATTTATAATACAACAATTGAATAATGAATGAATTATATATTTTTTTAAAATAAAATCTTTTAATTAAGAAATAATATAAAAATATTGAGAAATATATAAAAATATACAAATATTTGAAAATAATATATAAAAATTATTTGTAATTTTTTATATATGAATCTTTTATTATACAAATTATACAATGAAACGTAACTTTTAATAATTCAATGTTAATTTATATATTTAAATATATATCAGATATTTTTTTTATAAAAATTAATTAAATTAATTCCAATGTTTCATTCGAGTTTTCTTGAAACTTTTGCATGCAACTTCCAAAAGTTTTTTTTTTAGTTTTTTATAATTTTATGATTTATAGAAATAAATAATTTAAACTAGTTTTATAATAAGTCTATTTTATAAATATATTTCTTAAACTTTTATTGATTATGTAAAAAGGAATTTCATATAAAATTTTTATATCAATAATAATAAATTAATATTTAAATTTAAAAAAAATTAAAAATAAGCAATTTAAAAGGTAATCATAAAAATTTTTAATAATTTAAAAAATAAATATTTTTTATAAAATACTTATAATTCTTATTAAAACAGTTATTATTATTATCATATATATTATATAAGTTATCTAATGGCTATAAAAACTATGAAAGATAAAATTATGATTTATGAGAATAAGAAATAATTACATTAATTTAAATTTTTAAATTAGTAATATATTTTGTAAAATTTAATAATTTTGTAATTAATATTTCATAAGTTATTTTTTAATTTTATTTCATTTTTCTATGGTTTGATACATAAAACTTCTTTATAGATTCTAATTTTACATGGATCATAGAATTTTTTTTAAAAAGTTCTTATATCATGAATGTTTTATATGAAAATAAATAAAAAAAAATTTTAATTTGATTAAAATTTATAAAATATAAAAATAAAATTCTTTTTATTAAATTTTAAATATCAATATTAAAAAATTCGAAATTTCTCTATTATTGTAACAAATATTGAATATTATTCAATAAATAATATTTAAAATTACAACAATATTAAATAATATTTGTCATATTTTTGTAAAACAATAATAATATAATATTGTTAAATAAAATTAAAAATATCTAAATAATTTGGTAGTTTTATTTATTTTATGGAATCTTTTATAATAAATATGTTAAAATAACTTATTTTCATGAAACTATAATTATACGAATTCTGAAATATATATATATATATATTCTAATAAGAACTTTTTAAAAAAGTTTCTATTGAAATTTAATTTCTATAAAAATTTCATAGAAACAAATATTTTTTTAAATATAATATATAATATATAAATTGAAACAAAAATCTTTTTTATATAAATCTGTTATTTTTTGTAAATATATTTTTTTTAATATTCCTTTACATATATTTTTTTATCAATATATAAAAAAAAATTTTCATATTGAAATATAAGGAATTTGTATATTGTAATGTGAACTTTTTTCGTTTAATAAGATTTAAAATTGAAAATATATATTTATAATTTATATATAATTTATATATTAGACAATGTTGCAAATTAATGCTTTAAGTTATTATTTTTTTATAAATGAAGAATATTAAGAATATTATTATTTTAGTATTTTTATTTAAATGTTCTGTTATTGTAAAATAATTAAATACTTTATTTTATTTATAGTTTTAAAAATAGAATGTAATTTTCTTATTTTACATTTAAATTATATACATATATAATTATACCATATCTTGTATTAAATTCTATTTTATTGATTTTATTTTATATTTTGTTTTTAATGAATTATTTTTTAATGAAATTTTATATCATTGTAATTCTTATACAATTACTTATAAAAATATTTGGACACTAATAATGTTTAACTTCAACAACTTATCTATATTAATTATAGAAGAATTTCAAAAAATTCATTCTTGTTTCTTTCAATATTAGGTATTTATTGTATTTTATAAATATGAGCAACTTATTGATGTTATAAAATAATATTAAAAATTAATATTATAATTATTTTATGTGTTATATTGATTGTAAAAATTTATAAGTTAAAGTTAAAATAGCAATTTCTTAAAAAAAAATTAAATATTAATTTTGATATTTTTTTGATTCTTTTTTATAACTTAAAATATAAGAATATTAATTACATTAATTATTATCTTTAAAATATATATTTATAAAATATATTGTTAATAAAAAAATATTTATATCTTAGAATTGAAATATATTTGGAAATCAAAAAAATATCAAAAGTAATATCTAATTTTTATAAAAAATTATTATTTTTTTTATTTTATTACAAATTTTTAAAACGTTCGAATATTTTTATTATGCAAGAAATAATTGTGATTTTATTTTATAATATTATATATTATATTATTATATATTATATATAGTATACATAATATTATTTATTATATTAATTTAGTTAAATAAGTTATTATAATATAATTATTATATTTGTAAAATATAATAAATATTCTATAAAAATAAATTTGAATTCATTTTTTTTATAATTAACAAAAATATAAGTCGGTAAAGTTAAATATATGTTAAATGTCCAAATATTTTTGAGAATAATTGTATATATAATGATTTTAGTTTCCTTGTAAGATGTTCTATTTTGAGTGACAAATATTTACATTTTTTATATCCATTATATCCAATATAATTCGTTCGCCAAAAAAAGACAAGATAATGTTTATAGTTAATCAGACTTTCAATTATTAATCAATTTATTATATCAATTTTATCTTCTTTTGTGCAGTTTAAGCTTTGATTTTAATCGATTTTAAGATTTTAAGATTTTAAATCGAAATAATGCGAATTTAATACAAATTTAATATGTGATAAGAGAAATTTATGATAAAATTTTTTTGTAAAGCATAATTTAAAATAAAATGGAAGAGAAGTATATAAACTGTAATTGAATTATAATGTATTTAAATATTGCCTTTTTACAGAATTATATATCTTATCTTTCTTTTTGTTATCATTTGAATTTATTACTAATTATAAATATTAACTGTATAATACGAATTGTATAATACATTATATTGAATTTATAAAATAAGATAGAAACATAAGAAAATCAGAATTATATATATACATATTTTAGAATTTGTTATATATTTTGCAATTTGTGATTTAAATTAATAAAAAATTAAATGAAAAAATTTTATTACATTTTATCTATAATAATTATAAATTATAATTTTATCGTTTTATCGTATAGATTTTTTATTTCAAAGTATAAACTTTGAAATATTTCTATTGAATTTTGAACTATTTCTATTGAATATATATATATTTTAAAAATATATATTTTTAAAATATAATGTATTTATATATTTATTACAATAAGAAATATGGAATATTTCATTATCTTTTTCTCTTTAATTTTTTTTTAAATTTTTGTTTGTAGCAATAATTTTATAATAAATTATATAAATTATTAAATATTAAGTTTAAAATTTTTTGTTTAAAGATATGGATAAAGTTTTATATGGTATTGATTATGAATCAATATGATGGAGAGGGGAGAGGAAGAATATAAAATATAATATAATATAATATAATAAAAGGAATATAAAATATAATATAAAATTAAATTAAATTATTTTATAATATACAAAATATAAAATTTTAGTTTGGAAAATTTATTGATTTCCAAAATATTAATGAAAAACTTTCAATATAACACATTGAAGACAGTGTAGATATTATAATGCTCTCTATTAGTTATTAACATAACTATATTCTTTGTAATAGTCGTCATCGTTTAGTTGAATTGTCGATGATATTATTCATTGAAAATCTTATTTTATATATATTATATTATATACCTTATGTATTTTGCTTTTATATTATATATTTTATAATAAAATAAAGGATAGGAAAAAAAAATATCAAAAAAAGGAAAAATATTTTTATTGAATTAATTAAAGAAATTAATCAACATTTAATATTTTTTCTTTAATCTTAAAAAATAGAAAAGATAAAAAATATGTTTTAAAAATTTTATAGTTTTTTTATAGTTTTTCTTTAATATTTTGGAAATCAATAAATTTTCCAAACTAAAATTTTATATTTTGTATATTACAAAATAATTTAATTTAATTTTATATTATATTTTATGAAATAATATCAAATATTTGGAGAAAATAAAAAAAAAAGAAAATATTCAAAGGAATGAGTTATAAAAATGTGTGTGATGAAAATTTTAATAATTATGAAAATAAGATTTAATCAAAAATACATAAATACATAAATTAAAAAATAGTCGAATGTAAATCTTATATATATATATGATTTAATATAGTATAATTCTATAGATATAAGAATTTAATAAGAATATTAAAAATAAAAAGCATAAAAAAATAATAATTTAATCATTTTATCAAAATATTTTCTACATTTTCAATTGAAGATTTGTATCAAATTATTATTATATTATTATTATATAACTAAATATATATTATATTATATTATATTATATTATATTATATTATATAATTAAATTATTTCTATAGCACTTGGAAAATAATCTACAAGTATTTTTCATATATTTGTCTTTATAGAGTAACGGTGAACCATCATTAAAAACATTATATAAATATGGCTCTTACAAATATATCTGGTATTCCCGATAAACATTGGCAACCGCCATTTGTAGCATTTGAAACAACGTAAGTATATAATTGCTATTTTTATCTTATAAATTTTTATAATTTTTACAAAATATTATTATTATTTATAAGACAAAATATTTGAAATGTTAAATGATAAAATTAATCTTTATATTAGATATTTAGAAAAGTTTTTGCCATTTTTCAAATAAAAAATTAAAAAAATGTGGGAAAGAACTTTTCCAAGCATCTAATATTTGTAAACTTTTAATACTAAAATTTTTTGCTTCTAAATTTTTGTTAAAATGTCAAAATGTTAAATTTTTTTATAAATTATGACTAATAATTAAAAATAGATGATATGTTTTTTGTAAGTTATATATTTTGACATTAAATATGTATTATAATTTTCAAATCCATAAAAATTAATAATAGAAATAAATAAACAATTAAGTAGCAAATATGTATTTGAATTTAATAATACTTTCTAATAAATTTTAATTTTTTTGTGATTTTATAATCATTTTAAATTCTAACCTAATCCATTTTAACATGACATGAATAGTTAAATATGAATCTGAAAAAAATTCAATTAAAAAAAAAAATGCAAATTTTCAATTTTGTATTTTTTTAATAATATTTAGTTTCTCTTGATACAAAATCATGATTTCAATATGCTAAGGTAAGACAATTGTTATATATATATTGAGTAGCATATTTTAGCAAATTATTTTTCTTTTATATTAAAAATAAAAATGATTTTGTAACTTTCCTTAATGTTTTTTTCAATTAAAACTTTTGCTCTATCACATGATATGTTAAATTTTCTCTAAGATTATTAGTTTTTAAAATAAATTGAAAATCAATAAATAATAATCAATAAAAGAGAATACATTTTAGATATCTATTTAACTTTGATTACAAAAAGCTGCTTATATCATTTTATTTGGAAGAATTCACAAAATTATTTTGCCTCAAGACACTTTTAAAATTGAAATTTTTTTTTAAATTAATTCTTTCAAAAACTGTAGTTTTATTTTAGAAAAAAATAATTTGCAAATTAATAAAAAAATTCAACACGTAAAAATTTATGAAAAAAAATACTTATTGAAAATTACAAAATTAGATTATGTTATAAGTATAATATATACGTAGTAATGAATTATTTTTTTATACAGAAATATATTTGATTTTCAGCTATAAAAATATTAAATATTATGTATTAAACTTATACTTTGAAGATAATTTCATATTTGGTAATTTCAAAATGATATATACAGATTCACAAAAATATTCGAACATTTATCATCATAAAGAAAATTGTTAATAATAATAAAATATGATGAAATTTCAAATATATGAAATTTATATAAAAAAAATACCTTTTATCCAACAAAAAATATCATGGATATGTTCAATGTTCAGATATATTATATATAATTTAAATTGATATAATAAATAATAAATTTTATAATTTTATTTTAATTAATAATTTATTTATCATGAATTTTCATACTTTTAATTTTAATATAATTGATATTATAATAAATTATAAATAATTTCTTTAATATTTGTAAAGCTTAAATGTTTCAGTTTATTAATTGAAATGTGATACATTTTTACATTTGTATATTTTTCTGATATATTATACAATTTAGTATTATTTAATATATTTGATTTTATATAGTTCAAATACATTTGAATTCGTTTTTAAAAGTGCATTTCTTTTTAGAATTTGTTTATTATTTGTTTATAACTATCGGATATATTTTCGATAAACAAGTAAATAATATAGTTACGAATATTAATATATGAATATTTAAATGAAATCTGTCAAAACAAACTAATATTTTCTAATTTCTTTATTATGGCTAGCAATATTTTTAAATATATTTTAATCTATATTTTAATATTTAATATACATATATGTGCATATATGTATGCACATATGTATGCATTTTTGACTGAGATAAACAAAATATGCGTAATATGAATGCTGAATACGAATTTACTCACAAAAATAATCGGAATTAATATAAATTAATATATATTTAACGATCTATTTTTATTAATTATAAAAAAAATAAATTCAAGCTATTTTAAAATATTATAGAATATAGAATATAGAAATATATTATATATAATATAGAAATTTTCTATATTATAGAATATAGAATTATACTTTATATATATGCAATTTATTTAACTAAATTGATAATAAAATGATATTAAAAGTTAAATGAAATTACAATTATTTTTCGCATCATAAAAATATTTGAATACTTAAAAAATCTATAGTAAAAAGCAATTTTTTTTATAATTTAAAAATTAAGCGTTAGTTTTGTTATCTTTTCGATTTATAATATATTTAAAGCAGTTTAAAGTATTAAAAATTATTTTTTATTAACAATGTATGTTATGTTTTAAAATAATAATAATAATAATATACTCTATATACTTAACTTAATTTTTATAAAAAATTGCTATTTTTAGTTTTATTTTATTATTTTTTATTATTATTTTATTATTATTTTATTATTATTATTATAGTTTTATTTTATTATTTTATTATTATTTTATTATTACCAAATTATTTTATTATTTTACCATAAATTTTTAAATTGTTCCAATATTTTGATATAAAATAGTTGTGATTTAGTTTTTAATATTTAATTATTTCAAGATAAATTAAATAAATTGTTTATATAGGTAAACTACAATAAATACTCATCAACGAAATAATTTAATTTTATTTTTTCTATAATTAACAAAGATATAGATTTTTAAAATTAAGCATAGTATCCAAATATTATTATAAGTGTATGCTATTTCAAAAGTATTCAAACTTAAAGGTGAACGATGTTTATACTAAGTTTCTTTAGCAAATATTATGATTAACAAACTTAGTTGATGGTAGAACGTTGTTCAGTGAATTTCAAGTTATCATTGCGCCCAATTATTAAAATGAATAATATCAACAAATTAGAAATACGAAAGTTTGAAATGGAATTGATATTAGAATTTAATAAAGAAGAAAAATCTTATAAAAAAATTGTTAATTTGGTAAAAGTAAGTTAACGATTTAATATGAAAAAATATAAATAATTTGATAATTTTAAAATATGTAAACATAAATGCATTTGGAAAAAATCTAAAATTTTCTAATTCTAGCAAGAATATAATTTTTACGATAAAGTTGCAATAAAGAAATTATATATTAATAAAATTAATCGATGAAATAGATTAAATTTTGTAAAAAACATTTAAAAATAATACATTTTGAAAATTTAATATTCTTTAATAAAAATAAATGTAATATTTTTGATGAACATAATTTAGAGAAAAATAATATAGAGAAAAATTCAATATATAATATAATATGGAAATAATTTATAATTTTAAAATAATATTTATAAATACAATTTTCAATAAATATATATGTATTAAATTCACAGACTTTAAGCTACATAGCGAATATTTTAGAAAGTAAATTTCGAAGAAAAAAATGTTTTAATCAATGTTTATAAGATTTAAAGAAGTACATGCAATGTATTCAAGTTTTTGTGTTATTATTGAATTAAATTCATATAGTTACGGACAATTGTTATAAATTTATCTAATTTAGTTTTTTTTAAATAGAAGAGAAAATTTAAAAAATTTTTTCCAAATTTTAATGAAAAGATTTCAATATTTTGACAAAAAATAATTTTTTGTTTTATAGCACATATAGCAGCATATAATATATTTCATCAAAAAATGTATATATTAATCCTATTAATTTTATTATTTATTATTTGAAATAAATTAAATAACTAAATAAATATAAATAATTATAATATAAATAATAAAATATTATTAATATCAAAACTTAAAATTTAAACATAAAATAAAAATATAAAATTTTATGTAAACTTTATATAAATTTTATATAAATTTTATATAAAAATAAATTAGTAAAATAGTTATATTAATAGTTATATTTTAGAGTAGAGAAGAATATTATTTTAAAGATATTATTAAAAGAAAGAAAATAAATATTGATGTAAGTTTAAAATAATAAATAATAATATGTACAATTAAATATTTTTGTATCCTTTCGAACTCATCTTCACAGTTAATATTTTACAATTGTTATAAATTTATCCAATTTTCTTTAGATTTTATATCTATAATTTTGATCTTTTTTATAATAATTATGTTATTATTTTTGAATTAAATTTTATATATTTTTTAAAATTATTAACAATTGTTTAAAATTTTAATAACATTCAAATATTTTAATAAGTAATTGTACTTATAGAATATTTTAAAAATTTCTGGTTTGATTAAAAAATAATTTAGGCATAGAAATTGTTTGTTTTTAATTAAAAAAATTAATTATTTAAAAAGTTCTTTAAAAAATTTATTTATTAAAATATTATAATAAAATAATATAATAACATAATAAATATAAAAATATAATAAAGGTAATAACATAATAAAATAAAATAATAAAGCCTATTATAATAATATTTTTATAAAATTTTTGTATTAAAATATATAAGATAATTTTTGAACATGCATATATATATATATATATATCATATCATATCAGATGAATCAGTCATTTCCGTTCAATAAAAACATATATATTTATCATGTCTTTAATTAATTTATTACATATGTACATGTTATTACAAATGTAATAAAAATTTGAATCTATTATCCATATACTTTTGATGATATAAAATGATTTATGTAATTTGTCAAAAAAGTATTAAATTTTTTACTTGAAATTATAATTCATATTGTCATATCATAATCATTTGTTACAAATTCAACTACTATAATAGTTTTCTATTTTCTTATTAATTTTTTTATATTAATATATTTGCCTATTATTATTACAGCATGGGTGAAATAGTAATTGAACTTTATTGGAAGCATGTACCAATTACATGTAGAAATTTTGCTGAACTTACACGACGTGGATATTATAATGGAACGAAGTTTCATAGAGTTATTCGAGATTTTATGATACAAGGTATCATTTTTCTTAAATTACTTTAATCTTAAAAATCTTAAAAATATAAAATAGTGAAGAATTTATAAGAATAATCATTAATAATATTCCACATATCGCATCGTATTATCGCAGAAACGTATATATTAGAAAAAAGCAACTTTTATTATACCACTTATTTATTTTTGCTAATTATAAATTATTATTAACGTTTATCGAAAAACTGATTATTTAAGTAAATATTTTTTTTTGGCATTTTATATTTTTATATTTTACGTATATTTTGTGTAAGTGTAAATATTTTAAAGTTTGTTTATTAAATTGCAACATTATTTTTTTTATTTATTATAAGTTTTTTATAATCGAAATTTGAAGTCATAAGTTATAATGATTGTATATTTTTTTATAATTCAAATTTTATATTATTTATTATTTTATTTATATTATTTATATTTTTTATTGTTTAATTATTTTATTATTATTATTTTATTATATATATTTATTATTTTATTATAATAATTATTTTATTGTATTTTTATTATTTAAGTTTTTATTATTTCTATAAATTATTGCTTGTTCTCAGCAAAAAAATTTTTATGTTCTGTTTAAACTTATTAGTTATATTATAATTTATATTTAATTAATTAAAAAATCTTTAGTTTATTAATAAAATATAAAAATTACATAATTAATATTTTATCAATATGATTTTTCTGATTTTCCCATTGTAATATTTTATTATCACTAAAATAAATTGTTAATAATATTTTTTTAATTCATTATATCTACAATTAATACATGATCTTGAGGTTAACATGGAAAATGTTAGAAAAATATTAAAATTATAATTAATTGTTATTAGATTATCTTTATTATTTAATCAAATAGTCGAATATATAATTTATTAAAAATTAAAATTAAAGATTAAAAATTGAAAAATTGATCTTCAAGTCCAATCTTCTTTATTATAATGCTAGAAAATTTGAAAGAAATAAGACTTTTTACTATATTAATATATATATTTTATTATTATATTTTATGTTATATATTATTGTATTTTATTATATTTTTTCTGATACAATTGTAAAAATAACATAGTTTTGTTTTTATTATAAATTTATTGTCTATATCGTATTTGTCGTAAATTCGTATTTATAACAAATCAAATTATATATATATTCACTATTTCAGACCACTAACATAATCTATGACTAATAGAATATAAAAGCTAAATATGAAACCTAGTAACAATGTATTTTAATATAATCTAAATATAATACAATATAATGTAATAACAAATAATCTCTTATAATAAGTAATCTTTTATTATATTTCTTACATCAGTATAAAATTAAAAATCTAAAAGTAGATATATTTATTTATTTTATTTTAGGTGGTGATCCTACTGGAACTGGGAAAGGTGGTGTATCTATTTATGGAGAATGTTTTGATGATGAAATTCATGATGACTTAAAACATACTGGTATGTTTAATTATAAATTATATAATTTTATTTATATTTATTAACATATAATTTAATATATAGAATGTTTAAATATATAGTAGCTCTTGAAAATATTCAAAAATTTTATGGAGAAATACATCGAATGTCTTAATCTTAATAAAAGTTTATCTATAAAATAGATTATATATATGTATATGTATAGATTATATGAATGTATGTAGAACGTATGTGGAACAATTTATTTTTTTGAGGAAAATCTAGAAAATTTAGAAAGGGTATACCTTCAAAATTTTAATATTTTTCATTTTTTGTGAATATAATTTCTTTTAAAAATATTTTTTATAATAGGTAAATATTTATAAACACAATTTAAAATATACATATATTTTATATAAAATCTGAAAGTTTTATAGTTTTTTTTTTATTTCATACATTATAAAATTATATTTTAGAAAATAAAAAAAAATTGAAACTTCTAAAAATCTATTTTATTGTTTTAAATTAAAAATTCTTTAAAAAATTCGCATATACATATATGTATATTAGAAATTAGAATTCTCTGAATAAGAATAGCGCGATCAACGATATTGCAGCTCGCGATTTTTATAAATCTATTTTTTTTTTTATCTTCTATTTTTATAAATCTTCTTTTATATTTTATATATCTTCTAATTCCAAATCATAAATTATAAATAACCCATAATTCGTAATCGTAATCATATGTTCATGCAATTGCTATTTTTCAGCTTTTAGGAACAGGAAATGTTTTATGCTTTTAAAATAATAATTATTCAGTTGTTCTTTACATTACAAATTCAATATTATCATTGAATATCATCGCCTTTATTTTGATAAACTATCTAAATTAAAAATAGAAATAATTTTATAGCTTTAATAAAAAGATCTGCTCTATTATATATAATTAGATTTTCTTTAAATTTTTTTTTTAAATTTTTAATTTTTTAAACAAATTAAAATATTAATAAAAATAAATATTCTTTTTATTTTAATTATTATTTAAATATATTTATATATTTATAACTTAATAATTTTTTATATCATTTTATTTGAGAAAGATCACAGAATCATTTCATGCCAAGAACAATTGAATAACTATGTATAAATATATTAATGTAATAGCACAAAACATTTTGAAAGTTGAAAAATTAAATTTTTTTTTAAAATTGATTTTTTATAACTGTAGATTTTGAGAAAAAATGATTTGCAAATTCATCATAATGATATAATTAAAATTCTATATTATATTATTATATTAAGATTATATATATAAGAAGCAGGCGTTAACGATCAGAAAATTTTTCAAATACATAGATTTCGTAATTAGATTTGTATATATATAAAATATATATTATAAATTTTGAACGAATTTAGCAAAAAAATTAATAAATATTCATTAAATTTTTTTAGAATGAAAAGGCTAGAATGTACTATAAATTGATATTTAAATAAAATATTAATATTTATCTGATTATGCTATTTGAAGATTAAAATATAATATAAAAATATAATTCTTTACTTTACTTTACTGAAAAAAATAAACTCAAATCTTTGAAAAACTTCCTTTTTATTGTTAATGAGTTAAAAATAAAATAATCTTAAACTTCAAATCTCAGTAAAAAAAAATGTTATGGAAAATGCTATGAAAAATGCTATCAAATTCGAGAAGAGAAAGATAGTTATATGATATAGTTAGAAATAATTGAAAAACAATTATTTTTTTTTTAATATTTTCGTAAATATATGCGTAAATATAGCAGAAAAATCGATATTTTTTGCCTTAAATTTTTATATTTATTTTCTTATCTCCTAAACTTAGTATAATAGATAATTTTTTCGGCCAGACTTAGATTCACAAAAATATCACACAAGAGTACATAAAAAATCATTGTATTCTCAAATGAAAAAAATCTCTTTGACTTTTGATTTCTTTATACATGTGTTATTTTTTTGTCGCACATAAACTGAATTTATAGATAAAAATATACTACTATATTATAATTGCTATTGACCTTTATTAAGAAAAAAATATTTTATATTTTATATTATATTAATAATATAAATGCATATAAAATTTAATTCATCATTTCAATATCTTCTATATGTTTACAATATTTTTTTCACACATGAAAAAATTTGTGAAATTAATCTTTTTTAATTTTGATTTAAAAAAATTAGATTGAACATAAAGCAATCTTAATAGGTTAAGGTTCACATGATTTTAAAATTTGATTTATTTTATATTTTTTTTTATTTTGTTTATATTATTTTATTAATTGTATTAATTCATATCTTTTCATATTGCATGTTTTATATTATTTCTTATAAAATATTCTTATTTCCAATCTTACATATCTATTCTCATTGTTATCAATGATTCATGGATTATTTACTTATTTATAATTAATCTACTTATTAATTAATTTATAATTATGCTTATTTATAATTAATTTGTAATATAACAATGTATTTGCAAAAAATTTAAAAATATAAATATCGAAGAAAATAAAGGAGAACAAAATTTAAATTATTTTATAAAAATATACTTATTTAGTGCTTAATACATATGCATAATTATATAAGATTGCTGAGGAAATATGATATCACTTTTTAATAATAAATAAATTAATATTATTTGTAAAAAAGATAATTTTAAAAGCATTTTTTCATATCGAAATGTACTATAAAATATTAAAAAATATTTCTTTACTATTGGAATCTATATTAAATAGATGGACTTAATTTTCTAACATGATGTATTTCTTATATAAGTGACTAATTTTTACTTTTCGATAATTATTATAATGTAATATGGAATTAAAAGATATTATATAAATTTTTATTTTTTTATCAATTAGAATAACATATTTTATATTATATTAATATTTTATATTAATTCATTTTTAATAAGATTGTAATTCGTTTTTATTTTATGAATCAAAAAAGAGAATACATTTATATTGAATAAAAAAATAAATCAATACAAAAAATATTGTATATGATTTCATTTATAAGTAATATATAATAGCTTAAAACATATTTTACACATTATAACAACATTATAGAATACTCTAGCAATATCATAAATATAATATTGTTCAATAACAGTATTGATCTAATATAAATTGGATATTTTTGATAATATCTTTGATAATATCTAGAATATATTTATTCACTATATCACTAATACCCCTAGAATATATTTATTCATCAGTTCATTTTATTGATTGTACCATATATAATCTTATAAAGATCATAAATAATAGAAATATTTATATTTTATGAAATTTGATAAAATTGAAAATTTCAAAAATATATACCATATAAATATACTTAAGAGTTGAACGTTGAGATAAATTCCAGTGAAATTGAAATATTTATGAGATATAAATATATTCAATAATATTAGTTATTGGAATCTGTTTTAAAATGATATATAACCTAATTGTATTAACTTTTGTCAATAGTCGATGATCAAAGCCATATTAATTTTGAATTACATCCTACTCCTTAGAATAGAAAATCATTAAATTTACAATCTGAGAAACACATTCATTCTTCTTCTCTTATCAGTATTTTTTATAATGAGAATATTTTATCTTTGGAGAGAAAAAAATTCTGTGTACATCCTTTAATATTTATTGAATTATGATAGAATGATAATAATAGAAAACAAATTTTAGTACGGAAAGAAGCATTCGTGATGTGTTAAGAAAAAGAATAGCCAATGAAAAGAAAGTTTTCGATAATCTTACAAATGATCATTTTAATATTCAGTTTTCATCAAATAAAAATATTGCATTATATTATAATAATATGTAACAGGGCTAATTACCTGACAATATATTTTTTATCTAAAAATCAGATTAACGAAATGAAATAATAAAAATTCATGAAAAAAATCAAATTGATGTATTGGTTGCATATCAATACATATTATTCCAAAAGTACAAATTGCATTGTATAACGATAATTTGATTATCAAAAACATTATTTCGATAAAATTTTCATTTTTTTATCAAATAACGATACAAATCAAAAAACAAAAATTTATAAATTATTAGTACGAATCAAATAAGAAATAGAAATTTATAGATCAAAATTAATTTATTTTTAGGCTTTTATTGACTATAGTGGATTCACGGGATTTTGAGAAAATATACATTATTTAAAAAGAAAAGATGACATTTTCATATCAAATTTACACGATTACAAGTTATAAAGTTCAGAAAAATTTTATGCTTTATGTGATATAAATTTTAATGATATGAATATAATAAATACTTGAAAAGAGAAAAAAACCATTTGCAATCATAACAAATATTTTTGTAATAATTGCACAACAAATGTGGATCATAATTAATAAATTTTTATGAAAGATGCTTATTCAAAGTATATATATATTTAATAAATTTGAAAAATATAGGATAAAATTGATAATGCGATATTATATAACACGAAAACATTTTATTTGTGTAATTTAAATGTGCATTTAGGAATAATTGGAAACTCCGTAGAAAAGAACCAAGAATTATTTGTCAGATAGTTGTCTGATTTTTGGAAACAATTTGAATGATCAATTACAAACGACAATCTCTTCATAAAAATTATCTTAGCAGAAGAATTATTATGAAAAGAAATTTATCTTATTGATATAATATAACAATCTATCAAAATTACTTACACATATTCAATACAGCAATATTTTAAATTTCTATTTATACAAAATCATATTTGTATTATGTATTGCTAGATCTAGAAAATATATCTTTTTTTTTCAAATTGTATAATGATCACAATATTTTTGAAAGTTATTATGTTTAAAAAAAATTATTATAAACCAGAAATTATTTCATTTTATAATAATATAATATAATAAAATAAATAAAAAATACTATAGATATATTAGACAAAATAATTCGCAAATATTCATGCCGAAAATGTACAAGATATTGGTCATTATTACTATTTATGGATTAGTATTGCAATATATATGTGTT